CTGTAACCACTGCTAAATAGGAAAACATTTCCATTTAGAACTTCATGCATACAAAAATGTAGTCAAAGAATATTTTTATCCAAGTATGCATTTCAGTGGCCTTTAGAGACATAATTGATGGCTAAGAGGAAAACTTCATTGTTAAGTGTTCAGAATAAATTATGTTGGTAAGTTATAAAGCACCAATAAGTACAACAAAAGGCCAAAGTCTTCTTTTTGAGGTAATGGATCCAAACCTTCAGTCTTCTCTTAGCCAAAAGAAAAGTCAAAACAGGTTTTGCTTAAAGTAGGCTAGACCCAATGCAAGTATATGCCTAGTAGCCTTTCTTGCTTTTTTACTGTGAACGATCCATCTGTCAAACTAAAAGAAAAATAGACTTCCTGTCCAATACATATACAAGTCATTGAATTATCTTTAGCAGTTGCCTTTTCACTGAACTGTGAGACAACTTAATTTGAAATTACTCTTTTTGGAAATTCTAAACCCTTGACACATTTCATTAGCCACAAAATGATTATAGGTATCTGTTAATTTGTTTGAAGACTTGGTAAACACTTGATACAAAGAGTTTTAAAGTCATCTAGTAGTTAGCAGAGATGGGAAGCTGTCTCCAGCCCTTAGTTTATTTACTTAGCACTTATTAAGCACCACTTCTGCATCTACCCAAAAAAGAAATATTTTAAGCAAACCGTAAAAGTGGGCTTGACCCTTTCATGGGCACATCATAAATCAATTGTTAAAGCAAGGGTGAAAACTCTGAAAGAGGTCAGAGGTGGAAGAGAGGTCATCCCAGAGAAGGGACAGTGTGAAAAACCACAAAGGGAGGAGCTTAGGAAAAGATAAATACAAAGGAAATTCTAGAAGCATTAATGCTGTAACAACCCTAACACACCAATAAAATCATAGCTATCAAAGTGCTGAGGCTATTGACAGATCAGTCCTAAATGTAGGGTTCTGTATATTGGATCAATGATGCCAGCTCATTTATCAAAAGGTGTTTTTAATAAAGGATTTGTCTTTTTTTATTTGAAAATGAATATAACAATTATATAAATTCAATATATTTGTCAAATTTTACCATTGCCTTGTCTTGACCTTGCTGCCATTGAAGTTAATGGGAGTTCATTTAGGTGACATTGTGATAATTTCTCTGGAGATGCTTAGATAGCATAGCAGTGAACATAGCATAAAAACATTTGGCCCCAGCCTGCAAAAAAGTAAATAACTTGATTCCTGTGAAGAGTCCCATTGACTTCAAAAAGATTAGAAGTGTGGCAAGTTACATATGCACATAACTGTCTGTAGGACTGGGTCATTGTATAGAGTGAGACAAACCATAGGGAGATTTTAAGTGAAGACAAGGTTCTGAATGTGTCTAGAAACAAACTAGTAGCAGCGATATGCATTACTATTTTGCCACCCTTGGTTTTGTTTCAAGTTGCTACATAAAGGATTGTACAGTTTCTCATCCTCATTAGGAAGTGGTTGCTTTAACATGTGAAATTGAAGGATTTGTCTGAATTTCTACTCATCCTATGTTTTTTGTGTCTGAATTTAGCTCTTCAGCATTTCAAAGAGCCCTATCCAAGCATTTGTTTCCTTCCAATGGACTAAAGTTTAAATTCCAAACAATTAAAGTTATTCAGATTTAAATGGGAAGATATCCCGATTGTTTTGTAAGTGCACAATTTATTAGTCATAATGACATTCCTTCACTTCCAGAAAAAACAAAGCCTGATTTATTTCCTAATAACAAAGACAAATGGTGAGTCTGTATGAAACTGCTTCCTTATTTTCAATGGGTCAGTGCCAGGCTGTAAGGTATCTCTGAATCCCCCTTCCCCTCCCTCTATCCCATGAGGCAATGATCTATCCAAAGTATGGCCAATCTATCAAGCATACCATATCTTGAACCATAATGAATACCAAATTACAGTACAGCTGATAGCTATTCATTTCATTCCTGTAGATCTATTCATTATATAACAGTGATCGCATTGACATACTAAGTTGCATCCATTTGGCTAATGCATATACCTTCATTGATGCTGCATTGTGATGTAAACAATACACTGCTCTTTCCTTATGTGAACCTATTTGAAAGCTGGGCTTTTTCAGTATTTTGAAGAGTTGTTATAGTGAATTCAGGAACAACAGGGTCTAATATAACTCGGGTTTAGGAAAGTTAGAATTATCATTTTTACTGTCTCCGATACAAAACTGTGCATAGGCACAGAGTTTTCTAATGGAAGCAATAATAGAAGTAATCTTTTGGGGGGTTTGGGGTATAATAATGTCATTTCATAGATGAATTTATTCTAAAAATAAATAATTGAGTATAATTCTTCTTGGGGGGGCAGAAATTATTATTTTTTTTAATCAGTTATTTTTTTAAATTAAAGATGAAGGAAAAGTAGTTACTTAGGTGGGAGTTTTTCCAAAATGCCCAGTGTTGGCCTAATTTTTGTCCCAGTGGCATCTCTGATGAAACTACCCAACTTCAGTAGGCTGATGCTAAACACTTTTAGAAATCCTTAACCCCAACCTTCTCCACCTGATCAACAAGTTTGATAAGACACAGGTATTGTCCATCCTGGGGCAATTGGACCAGCCAATATCACACATTTCAGCTAAGTTAACCAGCTTCAAATTCATGCTGGTTAGTTCTATGAGTGGATATTAAATATATTAACTAGGGCTGCAACCTCCAAATTAGGACTTCCCAGGTCTCTGAATCCTGCAAACTGTAGAGCAAGAGGAGCAGGGGATAGATCAGTTTGTATAGGCCTGCATAAATATTCTTTCCTTCAGCAACCATGATGTACCACTGTGAGATACAGGATACTGGTCTACTCTAGATGTCCCTGTGATCTGACCCAGTATGACTTTTCTTATGTTCTTTTGAGCTATTTCAAAAGATACCCTAATGATGAGGGCTTCATATTTTTATGTTTCTTAACTGAGGCACTTTTCCTTCTTCTTTCCCTTCCCAAGTAGAGGCTGCCTTTGAAGACTTGAAAATTTCAACCAGCTGCAAAAGCTATTTAATGAAGAACTTTCTGTGAGACCAGGAACAGAACTTGGATTTCCTTTCCATGCAGGGTGCTCTGAAGAGCGCTGAACATCAGCAACTCCCACTGAAATCAAGGAAAGCTGTGGGTGATCAGAATTGTGTATGATGTGCTGGAAATGTTGGAGTGGGATTTTTTTTTAAGTGCTTAAGTAACTCAGAAACACATTGGGCATTCAGCATCAATAGGGCTGATACTCCTGTCAGTCATTTATGTAACTTTGAAGTTCCAGCATCTAATGTGGAATGATGGTATCATTTAGGACACATGAACTCTAGCATAAGTAAAAAGCCCACAACTCCCACAGTGGCTCCTACAGGTGCAAAGTGCTTGTGTAGCTTACATCTTTGAGGAAGCAGGAGTAAATCAAGCCCATATATTAAAACTCTTTTCTCATGTGTGTGTGTTCCGGCATGTATTTGAACGATCTTTTCCAAAACATAAAATATTCTAAATCACTAGGTTTCCCACACACATTCATGTGGTTAAAAATCATTTCCACGCTAATTATCTTAATATGATGTGTAAATTTTAAGGGGTTTGATTGGGGTAGGGGGCAGGCAGGGAGGGGTTGAAATGCAAAGGGATTAATACATTTTTCCTCTCTCTACTTTCATACATTTGTGAGTTTACATATATAAGTAAGCCCCCACTCTGAAGCCAAGTTACTTGTCCTCCTTCCTGAGATTCCTGTAGCATTCTCAAATAGCTTTAGAGGAATGTTTCATTCGTCCAGTGGGAGTTCGACTGTTGTGACGACAGCGGCTGCTGGGGGAAGGGTGGGGAAGTATTTTTGGCACTACAGCCAAGTCCATTAAAACAAGTTATCTCCAGATGTTGGAAAACCATCTGGGTGGAAGAATAATTTCCTATTTAGTATAGTTACTAGGGATAGGCACATTCATTTTGCCTAAGTGGACTCAAACACCATAGGTTTGAAAATTCGAGTCAAATCCGCATGTTATTTGTTATTTTGAGCATCCCGGTAATGGGAGCAGATAGTTATCTGTAGCAGGCTAGCAAAATACCTTTGAAAAGATAGGCTCTAAAATGGATCAAAATGAAAAACAAAGACAGAGAAACTGAAATAAATATCAGGGAGGAAAGGAGAAAAAGACATTCAGAATTTAAGACAGAATTATGCGGGATTATTCTTTTATTATGGCCCACACACTTTATCTTAATAGAAAAGGAGTTTAAGAAAAATAGGGCATCTTACCAAAAAGTTACCAAAAGTTTTATATTTTGAGAACAATAAATTTTGAACTCTAGCTGAAGGGGAGAAAAGATGACAGAAGTTCAATGTGGGATATATACCCTGCATGCCAAAGACTCCATCTCTGTGGGGACTTTCTTAATCTAGTAGAGAGGAATAGGGGTTAGGTAGGCACATTTGCAACTAAACAGATCTACCATCTTTCTGAATAGGCCTCTGGGGAGCAACTGTATTGGAGTTTTCTTCAGCAAAGTTCCTGTACTGAAGACTGATGAGGAGGACAGAGTTCACTTTTTTCCTCCTTGCCAGATAACTGCATAATTGTCTTAACATGTTGAGGCAGATTACATGGAAAAGTACAGAGCCTTTATAAAGGAACTGATATGAAATAGTCAGTCCCCATTCTGCATCAGCTTTGGCTTTTCCAACCTGATAATATTTCACTTGTGTGGAAGGGTCCTGACTTAGGTTTAGGGAAGGCTGTAACATTAAATCAATGCTAAATAATCACTGTATAGAATCAGAAAACTTTAGCATTGGAGAGTTTGACTAAACTGAGAATTAGATTTGAAAATTATGGACAAATGGTATTTTGTAGCAGCACATTTTGCTTGCATATCTTATTCATAAACATGAGTGCAAACACATCCAGTGAGATTTTCCAGCTTAGTTTAAAGGGGAAAAAGTGGAGCACAAAGCTGATCATGCGCAAGTCTTTATTTTTTAACATGATGATCTACTTTTGAGAAAAACAGGCAGGAGGAAAAACTTCCTCTGGGTGGAACAATGTTTTTAAAAGTATCTCACAGAGCAGAAAGTCTGCTCCAGACATTTTGTGTGTTTTCAGAAGTCTCTCAAATGAGGTGCAATATGGGTAATGCACATTTCACAGTTTTAAGCATATTTAATACAATGTTTTTACAACAGCTGTTGCTTTCACAGAACTTTGGGCCTGCTGTGTAAATGCATCATGGGGAAAATACTCAGTTGTCGTGGATCCAGCCTTTACACACAGTCCTTTTTCCCAGTGAGCTGGTGTCAGCTTTCAGCCTCAGTCACATTCCAGTCTGGCTGTCAGGATCATGGCCTACACTCAGACTTCATTACCAGCCCTGATGAAGGACAGCTTTGGAATCTGGGGCAATTATCAGGGCTCTGAATGACCAGTTTCCATCAACACACCTGATGAGAAAATGGCAAAATTAGGTCTGAAGGGGGAAAATATTAATCAAGTTTTCCTGACATCCAACATTTTACTCTTTTTTGTTGAACTGCATACAGAGCCAGGTGTCTTTCTCCTGCTAAATTTAGACCAATTTATTGTCTTAGCTGAGGAGTGTTACATTACAGCTGACATTTGGAAGACTATTCAAGGTATCATGTGACAAATGCCTGCTGTTAAAGGGCTAGTGAAACTTCTCTTGTCTTTGGAAGAAAGATAACACTACTTGAGGGTCTGATCCTGCCAGAACTACCAACAACAGTACTTACTGCCATAAATTGTCTTACTGACTACTCAGAACAGTAAGCATTGCCCTCATTGCTATTGCTTTCAGATACAGCCTTAGAATTTATTCGGATACTCAGTGTTTAATTGTTTTTAATATATTTGTGGGAATAGGGGAATGATATTAAAAACACATCATTTTTCAACTCCTTTTTCCATAGAGAAATCAGATTCAAATATGTGCAATCAACTCCAGAACAAAAAGATTATGTCAACATGCAAACTTCAATACAGTGCTCTAATGTCATAGTAAGTGTGCCTGATCTTGCAAGAACCCCTAACTTCGGTAGAAGTTGGGAGCACTCAACACCTCCCAGGAAACAGCATCTTGTAGGATCTGGTCCCCAGATTTTACAATGGTTTTTTTCAGTCTAATAATAAGACATTAGGGTGTAGGGTGGCTTGGAGGAGGGAGCAGAGAGGAGCTTTCAGAGGCTGAGCCAGCAGGTGACATCAGTGTGAGGAAGGCACCAGGCTTTGCTTAAATAGCAGTAGTGTAATTGGAAGGAGGGGTGAGATTGGGGCAGTAGCCTCAGGCACTGCCTCTGTGTGGGAAGGGAAAGGGAGGGAAAGTGCAAAAGTAGCTGTGCAGCAGCAGTGGCTGATTGCACCACTACAATCAGTGTGGGAAGAGCTGGTGCTCTCCCAGGTGCTGCACAGCTGCCTTAGGTACAAAGCTGCAGTGCTACACGTCTGCAAAGCAGAAAGGTGAGTTTAGCCAGAACCCAGCAACACCAGAACCAGAGATCAGACCAGCAAACAGTGGAGTTTGAGTGCAACTCCTGCTTGGGAGAGGAGCAAGAAGCTGGAGTTGCCTGGGGAGAGTGTTTGAGAGTGCTGGTGAATGGAGAGGTCTGCCTGCTTGCACGGTTCTGGTGGCCTGCATGTCCCTGTCAGAGATAGCCAGGTGTGCTTTTGGTGTAAGAGGTGCCTCCTGGTGGGTTCTTTCAGAAACCAGGTAAAGGATCTACAGGAGGCAATTGAAAGGCTCAGAAGCATCCCTGAGCACAAGGCCTTAACTGACTCAATGTATAGACATTCAGCATTATGGAAGAGGGACAGCTACAGACAGCACAGGCAAAGAAGATGTGCAGATACTCTGGCAGCTGGCAACTTATCACCTCTGGCAGCCAGCAGCACACATCTGCCTAACCTGTGGGTGACCAGCTGAAGAACAGGTGTGAAATCATGGTACTGGTTGAGAAGCAGCGTAATCCAGTGGCAGGAGAGGCTAAACCATGCACCCTGAGGGGGTGGGAGGATTAAGACCACTGCTGCCAAGAGGAAATGACAAGTGGTGGTGGTGCTAAGGAACTCATTGTGGGGCAGAGAGGCATCTGTCTGCCAGCCTGACCCATTAGCTTAAGAGGTCTTCTTTCTGCCAGAAACCTGCATCTGAAATGTCACAGAAATGCTGTAAAGATTCATCTGGCCCTCTGACTACTAATGCATGCTGTTCATCCATGTGGGCACTAATGATTCTGCCATGGGTGACTTGGATCAGGTCAAAAGTGACAACATGGCTCTGGGTGCAAGTGTGAAAGGGATGGGGGCCTAGATGGTATTATCAAAGAGTCTTCCAGTCAAGGTTTAAGGTAGGAGCAGATCATCTATGCAGCCACATGTTGATCCCCAGAATGCGTGTCACCAGCAGGGCTTTGGCTTCTTTGACTATGGTGTGGCATTCCAAAATGGTCTATTGGGATGAGATGGGGTTCATGTGATGAAGAGGGGGAATAGTGGCTTTGTGTACAGGCTCGTTAACCTAATGAGGAGGGCTTTAAACCTGGTTCACTGGGGGATGGAGCCAAAAAAGGATTCTACAAGCATATCAAGAAGGGAAAAAATCCCAAAGAAACAATAGGTCTCTTATGAAATGCAGAAGGCAATCTAGTTATGGGTGATGTAGACAAGGCTGAAGTATTTAAAGGCTTTTTTACTTCATTTTTAATGAATAAGGTCAGCTACGAATCAGCAACAAAGATAAGGAAGGAGACAAGCAGTCTAGAGTAGTAGAAGAACAGATTAGGTATTAGAGAAGCTAGTTGTTTTGAAGTCAGCAGGGTGAGATGGAATACACTGAAGGGAACTGAAGGAATTGGCTGAAGTAATTTCAGGGCTATAGGCTATCCTCTTTGAGAACTCATGGAGGTCAGTTTAGCTCCTAGATGACTGGAAAAGGGCACATATAGTGCTCATCTTTAAGAAAGGGAAGAAGCAGAATCTGGGAAAATACAAACCAGTCAGTCTGACACTGACACCTGGAAAGATTATGGATCAGGTCCTCAAGGAATTTCTTCTGAAGTACCTAAAGGAGAACAAGGTGATCAGAAACAGCCAGCAAGGATTCATCAAGAGCAAGTCATGCTTGACCAAACTAATTTCCCTCTGAAATAAGTTAGCAGGCTTGATGGATTGGGGGGAGCATTGTATGTAATATACCTTGGTTTCAGCAAGGCCTTTGATACTGTCTGTCCCAACATTCTCATTAACACACTAAGGAAATATAAACTAGACAAAAATACTGTAAGGTGGATATATAACTGGTTGGATCATTGTGCTCAGCAAGTAGTAATCAATGGCTCAAAATCTAGTTGGGAAGAGGTATCAAATGGGGTTCCCCAAGGAACTGGGTCCGCTGCTACTGTTTAATATCTTCATTAATTATTTGGACAATGGCATTGAGGGCATGCTTGCAGATAACACCAAGTTGGGTGAAGCTGTGGACACTGGAGAGTATGGCTAAGATTCAGATGACCTGGATAAACTGGGGAAATAGTCCAGAATCAATCAGATGAAATTGAACAATGAAATAAGTATATAAGGGATGTACATCAGGATCTGGGGGAATGCCTGTTCACCAGAGCACCTCATGGGATGACAAGGTCAAATGATCACAAACTCCTCCAAGACCGTTTCAGGCTGGACATAAGGAAGAACTTCTTTACTGTCTGAGCCCCCAAGTCCTGGAACAGACTGCTGTCAGAGGTGGTGCAAGCACCTACTCTGGACTCCTTTAAAGAGTCAATTGGATGTTTATCTTGCTGGGATCCTGTGACCCCAGCTGACTTCCTGCCCCTGGGGCAGGGGGCTGGACTCGATGATCTTCCACGGTCCCTTCCAGTCCTAATATCTATGAAATCTATGAAAAGTGTGAAGTCCTGCACTTAGGTCAGAATAATTGCATACACAAATACAAACTGGAGAATGATTGGCTAAGCTGCAGTACTGCAGAGAAGGATCTGGAGGTTACGATAGATCATAAGCTGAATAGAAGTCAACAGTGTGCTCTTGTTCCAAAAAAAAGGCCAATAGCATGCTAGGTTGTATTAACATAAATGTCACTTGTAAAGCAGAGGAAGTGATTCTTCTGCTCTGGTTGGCACTGGTTAACCTCACCTGGAGTACTGTGTCCAGTTTTGTGCTCCACACTTTAAGAAGTTTGTGGACAGATGGTGAAGAGTCTAGCAGAAAGTGACAAAAATTACAAGAGGCCTGAGGAGCATGATTTATGAGTAAAGACTGAAAGAACTGGGGTTATTTAGTCCAGAGAAGACCGAAGCGAGATTTGATAACAGTCTGCAAATACCTGAAATGAGATTATAAAGAGAATGGTGATAGATTTTTCTCTATGGCTATGGAGGATAGGACTTCGAGCAATGGCTTCAAACAGCAGCAGAAGAAATTTAGGTTGGAGATTAGGAAAAAAATAAACTTTGACTGAGAAATGGTCATACATTGGAACAAACTTAGGGGAACCTGGAAATTTTCAAGAGCAGGTTAGATAGACACTTGGCTGGGATGGTTTAGTCAGGGATGATCCTTCCTTGAGTAGGGGGCTGGCCTAGATGACCTACTAAAGTCCCTTCCTGTCCTATTATCGTATGCTCGTAAGTAGCACTTAATTTTCAATCCAAAATGCCTTGATTTAAGCCCAAATTCAGAAAAAAAAATTATATTTTGGAAAGCACTTCTGTACGTTTAAAATCCCTTGACTTCAATACTTAATTTAAGCACATACTTGCATGATTTCCTGAGTCTGAGCCCAACAGATGAGCTGAATCACTTTTCAACAGCATTTGTTGAGTGAAATGCTATATACTGGGTGCATCTACATGTGCACATTTACTGCGCAGTAACCTAAATTATTACACAGTACAGGCTCATGTCTACACATGCACACCTATACTGCACAGTAACTATGGTGACTTATGCAGACTTGGGTGTAAATTTGACACCTGCATCATGCAGGTATCAAATTTATGCCCAATCAGTTACTGCGCAGTAATGCATGTGTAGACTCCTTACTGCACAGTAACACTGTGTGTATGGATGAACCTGAGACTAACTTTTGCCCCAAGTAAAACCACACACAGCGTTAATGCACTTTAATGCCTGCACATGTAAATGCTGGCCTATTTCTGCTTACTGCACAGTAACACCCTTAGGGTATCTATAATGTGCTCTGGGGGTTGCATTTTAATTAGAGCGGATCTTGGGAGCCGCTCTAAGTAAAACACCTGCAGCATCTTATGTATTCAGTGTCTCACATTTCAAAATGGCAGCAGGGGTGCTTTAACTAAACTCATTCAATAAGCTTTAGTTAAAGAGCACCTGCTGCCATTTTGAAACATGGGGATGCTGAATACATGAGAAGCAGCAGCACGCTAGAGCC